AGATTCCCTGGGACTGGAGTTACAGACAGTTGTTAGCCGCCATGTGGGTGCTGGAATTTGAACCCTGGTCTTCTATAAGAACAACCAGTGTTCTTAACCACTGAGCCATCTCTCCAGCCCCTGAGCTATGTTTTTATACAACAGTCTGAGCCTTAAAATAATTCCCTCTTTCTATATATTAAGAAACTAAAAGCCATTTCCAGAATTCTTCATTTATTTATTCATCCACTTAACAAACATGCCTTAATATCTGGGAGTTGAATGGTGTTCAGCACAGCACTTGGTCCTGGCTTGCGCTGTAAAAGATGAAGTGGAATTTAAGGAACTACCCTATCAGCCTGTGGCTTCCAAGCCAAAATATCTCCTTGCCATGTTTGCTCAATTTTGTTTGTAGTTTATTTATTTACTCATAAATGACCAGGGAGAGCATTGTGGATAGAGAGGCTACAGTAAGATTCATTTTTAACTTTATATTGGAATAGCTTTAGACCTAATCAGTCACAAATAGCATTCTTGTTTTCATCTTTTCACCCAAATTATATTATATTGTGCAGTTAGAAACTTCTAGCTTTTTCCTTCCTTTTTTTTTTTTTTTTTTTTTTTTGAGACAGTAGCCTCAACTGACCTGGAACTCACTATGGAGATGAGGCTGGCCTCCATCTCACAGAGTTCCCCCTGCCTCTGCCTCCTGAATGCTGGGATTAAAGGTGTGTGCCACCATGTCCAGTTTTCTTTATCCTTCTTAAAAGATCTAAAAGCAAAACAGGACAAATTATAATCAAGCACAGTACAATTCAGGGATGTGGACTGAACAAGAGAATGAGGATGATGAGCAAAAATCCCAACCTGAAAATTCTATTTAAAAACTAAAATACCTTCTTTTCATTAAAAAAATCAGCCAGTTAGAGTGGAATTAAAAATATATATTGGCACAATGCCAGGCAGGAGATATCTTCCTTTGAGTTGTTGGCCAGGGTGGCCCAAGAGACTCCCAAACTGTAACCCGGCATAGAACTGGGAAAATGAACAGCAGACCGAATCTTATCTAAAGGAATATTGACAACTGATTGCTCTAGATGAGGAAGAGCTGATCTTCCTAAAACGAGGAACTCTAGATAGGCTGACTAGATTCAGCAGATGGACAAACCCTGGGGAATGGCTGGGGGAGCCAACAACACAGCAGACAGTAACAGGGATGACAGAGTATATGGGCTCCAGTGGGGCGGGGGAGGCTATGGGTGGGTGGCATTTGGGAAGTGGTTATATAGATAAATAAGATTGTTTGGGATGTTCTGTATGATATATACACAAAAAAATCAACAAATACAAAAATAAGTTATATTTGAAGAAGCATAAAAATTTGCTTCATGTTTATTAGTAGAGGTGAAACACATTGCTATTGAAATCTCCCTGATGACGTTATATCCATGCTCAGGTGCCAAAGATCTGAGTGTAACCGACTGTAACTAGTAATAATCAGATACATAGAGATTAGAGATGCATGTGCAAACATCTAAGTGTTAGTAGCATTAAAAGTGAGTTTTTCTTTAGGAAACTGTATATTTTAAAATGAAATGGCAATCTTTTGTAAAGGTTAAAGCCTCATTCAGTTTTATGTCTTATAGGGTTTATACTGAGTTCAATATTGTATAACTGTATTAACTCAACTGTGAACCTAAAAATTTGCAGCCACTTTTGAAAGAGATGCATCTTTGTCCTGGACATTGTTATTGAATATGTTAAAGCTGTAATGAAATGCTTCTTCTAATCATGTGGTTATTAAATAATTTTTTTAAAAGTCTACTGCCGAGCGTGGTGGTGCATGCCTTTAATCCCAGCACTCGGGAGGCAGAGGCAGGCGGATCTCTGTGAGTTCTAGGCCAGCCTGGTCTCCATGGTGAATCCAGGACAGCTGGGGCTACAGGGAGACCCTGTTTCAAAAAGACCAAAAAAAAAAAAAAAAGTCTACCACATGGCACGAGTTTTGATGGCATGAAAGTTGCAAGATTGGTGGAGTCAGGGAGAGCAACTGAGGCTCAGTACTGTGAGGGGCTGGGAAGATATTCATGAAAGTGTAGCCTCAGTTGCAGTGGAGACTTCAGCATATTGGAGATGCTATGACCATAGGATGACCACCAAGGACAGCAATAGGTATGGAGTGGAGGTGGCCTGAGCCCACCAGATAAGCTGTGCATGTTGAGGATGGCAGAGTCATAGAAGTGGAATTTCCCAAGTCTTTTGGAGCCCAGACCATCATGAGTGGGCCCCAGATGCTGGACTTTGAGCTACAGAAATTGATTTAAACTGTTGGATTTTTGGGTTTTATTACGATTTTATTGTATTATTTATTGTATTTGATTTAATTTGATTTTATGTCATAGTTCTTCCATTTTAAAATAATAAATTATACAATTAAAAAAGATGTATGTCAGGTACATATGTGTCTTTTAGAGAAAAATTATGTATTTTCATCTCCAAAAAACCCCCCAAAAATATATTGTATGAAAATTGCAAAAATTCAACAAAAATTTAAAAATATAGATTGACTACCTAATAAAATAAACATTACAAATTAAATTTTAGTATCTGAAAATAAGAGGGCTTTCTGCAGTTTGGACTGCAACATTATGTTGGTAACAGGTGCAAGCTGAATGCGTACTGTGTGCAGTATCAGAAAAGCCTGTCTTCTGCTTTCAAGACACGAACCATATACAAATAGTGACCATGTGAGGTAGAAAGTAACTATTTTAATAGAAGGTCTAAAAATGCTATTTAAGGAAAAGAAGAAAGAGATTTGTTCTGTTGGGGAGGATTAGAAGATGTTTCATAAAGGAAATGGAACCCGATCCAAAGCCAAAAAGTGGGTGGGATGGTGGAGGTGTAACAAAACCCACCTGAGCACATTTTAGCCTTCTCTCAGAGTCCAGCAAGGAACCCCCTTTGCTGGAGAACTGAAGAAGGGGTATTAGGGAAAAGGGAATAAAGCTAGATGATTTGTAGTCACTATGAAGACCCCAAAATGCCATCGAGAGTTGGAAGAACAGTACATGCTCTTAACTGTCAAGCCATCTCTCCAGCCCCACAATAAAAACACTTTTTAATGATTAAGAAAAAGTATACCAGAAGTTGGAAGACCAGTACAAAGCCATTGTTGCATTAGGCCAGGGGCATGGAAACAGAGAAAGAAAAATTAAGGGAGTCAGCAGTTCAATAAACATAAAATAGGAAACAGAAGAAAGTTGTTGATGACTAGAACTTGGAGACAAGTCACAGCATTGAAAGAAGAGCGCATGCTGATTTGAGGTTAAATGACTGTATGCCAAGGAGATTGACAATGGCCTTACAACAAGAAAGGAAATAAAGATGGGATTTGAAGAAAGAAGGAAAATGAGGTTTCATTTATTTAATAAATATTAACTAGGCACTTACTATGTGTCAGGTACTGTTCTGGGTGGCTGGGGGTGAGAGTTACCTTTAATTTTTAAAGGACTTAATGTTGAAGAGGCACTGTTCCCAATCTGTGTGACTCCAAAGTCAGAGCTGGAGCCAGAGAGTAGGAATGAGGTAGGAAGTCAAATGTCTTTCTATTAAATGGAGACTTTGACTGAGAAGTGAGAGCTCTGTCACAGGCGAGCAGAAGTCAGTGACCTTCCAGGAACATTGCAACAGAGACTAGACTAACCTTTCTGGGCATTCTTTTCTGGTCTTCTGAGTCTGTTCTTTCTGATGATGTAGTTCTGTGGGTTCTATTATTAATCTGTGGTTTCTCTCAATTATTAAATAAATTACTCAGTCTGTCTGCCATTCAGTAAAACTCACACATTTACATCTGTTATTCTTGAATTATTTTTGGTTAAAGCTCTTCTTCTTTATTAAAAATTTCTACCCAGTTAATGTTACCTTCATAGCTATTTCAGAATGAAAACCCTGGTAGATAGAGTTATAAATACCAGAGGGGAAAAGGATTTCTTGTGCCTAATAACATTTTTTGTTTGGAAGCAGCTCCGGTAAACATGGAATGAATTATCATGATGGTATGATACAGTTTCTATATGTTGCAGTAATTCAGAAGGAAAAAAATAATTCTCAGAGAGGTTCATTTTGATACAGGAGAGCAAAGAAAAAGAATAATTACTCTCCAAACCCTGTAAAGCTTTTGATCAGAAACACTTCTCTGTGCTGCATTTTAAAAAGAAGAAAGGAAGGAAAAACAGAAGGGAGCCTGTAGTGAGCTCTGTTATAAGGTATAGTTCAAGCTTTACATTTCCTGGTGTCTTTTGAAACGTAAAATTCCACAACAAATAGCTCGGTAATGTATAACCAGTATGAAGATTCAATTCAGATTTAAGCACTTTGGTTTGCTTTTGAGTCTTGCTATTTTCTGCATTTGTTTTGACTGCTCTCATCATTCAAGATTGACGCTTGGATGGGTGTGTAGGAAGCAGCAGCAGCAGGCTTACAGCTTGCAGACAAAAAAAATCTGCCTTATCTGATGGCTATTATTGAAAATGCGAGGTGTAGCCTGGGCTGGGTAATGAAGGGGAGCGAGTGAGGGGGAGCAAGGAGCATGGAGCTGCATACTGATGAGTGTAGGAGTACTTGATAAAAAGAATTCTGGCTGCTGGCCGTGCATTGCTCATTGTGGAGTACTCCAACAATCACATAGAAGGCAGACCAGCCTAAGCTGACAGCTTGCTATGCCGTCTTCTGCTGCCTGGTTTTGGGGGCTGTATGACGTACTGGTCGGTAGTAAAGATTAATATGTAAGAAATGTGGAGCTAGGATCAAGTCATACTCCACAGACTGCCTGGCAAACTATGTTTTACTTCTGACTTTGCTCTCTCGCTGAGAACATTAATCTGTCAAGCTGGCGGGATCCTTTGATAGCAACTTTCCCAGGAGCATGATGTGGCAATGCCACCTCTCAGCCCAGGACTACCGCTATTACCCCGTGGACGGCTACTCCCTGCTTAAACGCTTCCCTCTTCATCCTCTTACAGGACCCAGATGCCCTGTCCAAACAGTGGGACAATGGTTGGAAAGCATTGGGCTACCTCAGTACGAGAACCACCTGATGGCTAATGGATTTGACAATGTGCAGTTTATGGTAAGATGCTCTGTGTCCACGGAGCTGCCTTTTGTCTGTCTTTGCTTCTTATGTGTCTTACATGGCTCAGAGGCAGCCTGATTTGCACCGAAACAGATCAGCTTTATATATGTAACTGCATCGGAAAATCGGATGCCCTTAGAACTGAACTTACTGTGTACATAGAGACACTTACTGCAAAATGTGATCTGTATGCATCCATTATACATGTGTGTTATATGAATGAACCATGGAGAGCCCTATTTATAGGTTCTGAAAGAAGATTAACATTTATATTCTTCCTGTCATTCTTTGTGTGATATTTTTTTCTTATAAATTTGTGATCCGAGTGTATCCAGTTAGATTATATCACTCGGGCTAAGTCTAGATTCCCGAGACATATTATTTCCCCTGAGCATCAGAATTTGTGATTAATTAGACAGCTCGATGGTGTGAGGATGATTTTTTTCCTCATAATCATTCAATAAGCAGTTTAAATCCTGTGGACTACCGTTCATTAACAAGCTGTCTCAGACGGTCAATTACCAAGAGCAGGCACTTCCTTCCACACGCTGACTGAAGAGCAAGGAAGTATTGTTTGTTTCTTTAGGTGAAAAACAAACCCTTGGGTCAATTAGCTGTCAGTATTTAGAAAGGGGTTGGGGTGCTTCTGAATCCTGGACTACGTGCAGTCTAAACCGGGTGTGTGCAAACTTCTAACTGTGATGCATATAGGTGAGGAGGAGGATTGGAGGCGTGCAGACGACAATCCAGCTTTCTAATCATTTCTAGACCTCCCCCAGTGCTCATCAGTTCCCTTGTTGAGATGCCTTGAGGCTATGTCACAGCTCTTATTACCTTTCCTTGCTTTTAAGGTTCTATCACAAATATCACTGATCCCTAAATTTAGGGAGCCTTACATGCCATAAGCATGTAGCATACAAATTGCTTGTAGGAATAATTAATAGCTGTTCTTAAATCAAATGCTGGAGCTGACACCTGCAGCTTGCTAAAGCCAACATGATAATGAAAATATTTAGAGCTAGTTGAATCTTTTAAATTTCCCTTTTCAAGATTGTTTTCCCCCAAACTTGTCTGGACTGTTATAGATTTGAAAATTATAAAAATTGCTAAACTTCTACTCCTTCAAAAATGTGTATGTCTGCAAGCTTTTAGAAACAACATAAATGTAGTAAGTGGTATGAACTCTAAGTAACTGTATGCATAAAAGCCTCTATGGGTATCTTTTTTCTTACTAATGAGATACACATTTGTTTTCCTTGAGTTTATCAAATACTGTCACTGGTTATATAGACAAGCTATTGTTAAACTGAAATAAGAAAGAAGTGGAAGTTTATGGAGCACTGAGCAGGTTTAAGACTTAGGGCAATAAATAGATGGCGTTAATAATTAGAAGAACTATCAGAGGAAAATCATTTCAGCATCACTTATGTTTACTACACATTTCAACTTCTTTATTCTTTCTCCCTATCTCTACTTGAAATAGGGCATCTCGTTCCCAAGCCCTTGCTCAAATTTATTCTGATCCATGAGAAGTTGGGCTTTTGGATTTCCTGGGCTAACTGGCCACTCAGAAAGACTTTAATCCAGCTTAATTTTCCTCTGAATATTAAACACTTATGAACAAATATAATCCCCTTTCAAAGTCTGTAACTGAAAGGTTAATCACACAGGTTTTAAATAAGAATTTGAAGGAAAGCATGAAAAACATTCACGGGTGAATTATGTACAGCCCTACAAAATGTATCTAGAAGGCAAAAATCCTAAGCATGCAGAGAAAAACCGAGGTCTAATCATAGATTATTGCCTTTACTTGTTTATTTTCAATTATTGTGTATAATTTTCCAGAAAATAAGAACACATTGTTAGATGAGCCAATCAAAGACTTTCTTCATAAGACAGAATTTAAAAACTAAACAACTTTGACTTGCCATGTAGAAAGATTAATTATGAAAATGAAGCAAATTATAAATGGTGTCATCAATTAGTGCATTGCATGCTGTCATACATCATTTACTTGCCTCTAGTACCACAAGTGAATTTCTACCTATATAAAAATTATGTATTGATCTCTATAATCTATTAATTATTAACTTAAAGCACAGTAATGTGATTGGTCCACTTTAAGAAACAGATTGCACTGATGTAGTGAAAAACCCATTAAGCCTGCTTAGTTTCCACTTGGTATCATATTCTAGCTTCTGTTTTTCTTGTAGCACATTCTGACCTGCATTTATTCATCCTGTTGCCTAAGCAACAAGCACCACGCTCCTATTAACTATGATGTAGTGCGGGTCTTATTACTCTTTTAGAAAAAGACAGTAGAGATCAAGAAGAAATAATTAAAGTTGGTTGAAGCATCACAGTGTACCCATGCATGTACTTTGTTTAGGAAACATTCTCAGGAGTTAATTTTTCATTATTAATATTCTATTAATAGCTATAAACGTAAAAGGTCCTTAAAAGCAACATTTGAAGAAAGTATTATTGAAAGCTTAAATTTTTTACTAACTCTATTCTACATACTCTTATACATAAATAAAAATGGATGATTTTATCTACATGGCTATCATTAACTTTAGTAAATATTTCTTAGTAGTGAGTGATGCCTAAACATGATTAGAAAAGAGGGAAATGTCTCCTCATATGCTTTTAATTGGGTCTCTACTTTTGTTTACCCTTCAGGATCTTATATGTAGCCTTGATTTTATAGGTATATGAATTATTTTTCATACATTTAAGGTGAAACTCCAAGCTTTTGCTTTATCCCCTTCATTCTGGTTTGTAGAACAGATTAGAACCTTCTGTACCCCTAACAATATAAAATGAATATAAATTGGTACAATTAATGAATAACTGCAAACGTATCTCAGGCCACCTAAGACTTTAGGAAAGTCCTATATATGTTGACATCAAAAGGTGTCTCAGAGCACTCATGTGCCTGAAGTCTTTCCCCAAGTCCTGCCCTGCCTGTTCCTCCAAAGGCGTACATCATCATCTGGCCTCTGCTTAGACATAACCTTCCTGCTTTTCCCCAGGTCTGGGAATGCTGCCCTGGTCCTCTGACACCTCATGTTTTTCTTGGCATTTGTAACACGCATGATGTGCCTAAGTTTCAACATAACTTTTTCTCCTCATCAAGAAGTTTAGTTATGAATCAACTGTTCTACTGAAAACACACACTTTTCTTATTGTGCTTGTTCCTAGCACCATCTTTCTTTTTCTAAGTCATAACTGCTTTCCTAAATTTTAAAAGTCTCAGATCCTCTATTACTTTTCCAGTGACCCTGTTCCTTTGTGCCCTGTCCCTACAACCTCCTGTATTTTTATTTCCTTTCCTCTATGTCTTTTATTCTCAAAGGTCTTCCTGTATTGTTTACATGATTTTCCTTAAGGACTCTAGTCCATAGCAACCTGTCCTTTCTGAACTCATGTAGGGATTACATTTAGCATGCCATCATTTCTTCTCTACAGTTAGGAATTGTTTCCATTTGTGTACCCCCGGTGTCCTCAACTATACGAGAAACTCTGCAAGTTTGTTTTGTGTGCTTAATTTCCTTGCCTTTCTCAGCACCCATAACATGATGCTGTGTGCATAGAAATCAAACTGTAAAAGCCAAATGTGTAACAGATTGGCATGGATGGAGCTCCAGTCTCATTTATAAACTAGAAGTCTTGTCTTGCCAATAGGAACATGGAGCACCCAGCCTTTCATTCATGCGTCAAATACTCTATGAACATTTTCCATGTGCCAGGAAGTGTTGGATATTAGAAATGTGACAGTGTGTTCATGATCCTTACCTCAGTCAGGGTGCACTGTTGCCCTGAGCATTTAGATGTACAGCCAACGCATGTTGTGCCACGTGCATACGTCTTGCCACTCACCTTTCTATCCAATCCGCATCACTCAGCAATTGTTTTACTTGCATCACATTATAGTATGAAACAGAAAGCCGAAAACTCTGTTACAGCACAGAGTCAAGGAAAATGAAAATACTAATATTATCCAAAATGTAGCAGCACCACAGCATATTTATAGTCCAAAGCTGCATTGAGAAGTTTGTGTTGCTTGGAGGAGAACTGACTTGTCACCTCACCATGCTAACTGGCTAACAGTTACATTTGTAAAAGGGGAAAGAATGAAATTATATATCATGTCATTCTTTTAGCATCTCCTGTTGACCTGTTGACTCGGGATGGTTTGACCACTGCTAAAATGTCCAGGATGCTGCCTTTATGGAGTCAATTATAGAAGTAATACTGACAGACCCACATAAATTGGCATTTTTGTACACTGAGTGGATAGCTTCTAAAAGCACTTACTGGAAGTCAAAGTGAGCAGCGCCCATTAGACAGTGAAGGAGAGCCACAGCGCTCTCAGAGGGGATCCGTGTGAACAAAGAACGTGAACAAGATAAAGCTAATAAGTACATATTTAATTGAAACTTTTCTCCCATTTCTGTGGTGCATATTGCATGCTAATGGACCTACAGCTCTTTCCTACTTTATATAAAATTGCTATAATAAGAATAGCATTTGCAGCTGGCCTGATAAAATGACCTTTTAAGATATAGTAGCATACCACCATCCAAGTAAGAAGTTAAACCTGTGAAATAAAATCTAAATTGTCCCTAAAGGATAGACCTATCACTCTGTGATGATTTCTTATTTCAATATTGCTTAGGAACATTTATGAAGTTCCTGAGATTTAAAGGTATAAAAGAAAAGTGCCTGGCCCATTTCCTCCACCTTCCTGTCTCTGAAGCAGGCTAGGTTTTGAGTTGAGTGGGTGGCCTTTTATTGCAAAAGCAGCTATAATTTTCTAAATTCATTTAGACAGCAGTTATAAACTCGCTGTTACAAAAGTTTGTTTTTGTTTTTTGTTTTTTAACCACTGGCATTTAAAATCTGTTGGTATCCAGAAGTCAGTACCAAAGGGAAGAAGAGTACCAAAGGGAAGAAGACATTTCTTATCTGGACAACAGCTTAATTACAAATGA